GCCACGGCACTCTAGCCCAGGCAACAAAGTGAGACTCTGTCTCAAAAAAAAAAAAAAAAAAAATAAGGCCCCAAATCTAACCTAAGCATCTCTTTTCCTTCCCTCTTTTGTTTGGTCTGAACAGAATGGAAGGAATATCATCAGTGCTTAGGAAATGCTCTTGCTCTGAACGACAGTGCATTCCCATGGAGGGAATAAACTGCATAATTTCTTCCCTGAAGAGCAGCGCAGGGTCACATGGTTGCTCAGATAGCAATACATTTAGAGTTTAGGTTAGTTACATTCAGATTCAAACCACAGCTCTTCTACTTACTGTGTGACATTAAGCAAAAAAGGAAACCTCTTAATTCTCAGTGTCCTTATCTGTACAATGGAGATAATAAATACTATCAAGCTGTAGGGTAGTTATGAGGAATAAATGAAATGATATATGTAAAACATTTAACTTAGTAACTAGCCCATAGTAGGAGTTCAATAAATGTTAGTTTCCATTATTATTGTTGTAGTTATTGTTATCATTACTGTTGCCTAATACTCTGCTGAAATGGGAAGAAAGTCTACATTTGCATTTAAATTGCTTTGAGCCTTACTGACCCAAAGCAAGAGATAGAAGGTATATACTCTAGGTCTAGCCATTAACTTTCAAACTTTTTTGATCATGATTCATAGTAAAAAACACATTTTATGTCTTTATGTATATATACATATTCATTTCATACCCACAAATCAAGTAGTACTAAGTCACAATGCAAAATGTATATATACTAAAACAAAAGTTTTATGGAACAATATTCATCTATACCATATGCACTACACATAATGTTTTTAATGTAATTTGTTTTAGTTTAAAAAAAAAAATTCTGATTTGACCTACTAAAGTGATTTCACAAGCCACTAAGGGGGATCCTACAGTTTGGAAAAACACTACCTTAGACCCTTTGCTGGTGTCCTGTTCCTCGGTACATCTAGGAATCACTCAGGAAATCTAAGAAGACCTCACCACCACCAATGCAGTAGTCTAATTCATTTGGTTAAAATAACTTCTAGGTGGGATTATAGTTCTCAAAGCCCTCTGCTGGCCCCATATCAGCACAAGCCAATAACAGAGAAACATAACAGCTCACATTGTATTGATTTGCAAAAAGTAAATAGTCAGCGAATGCTTTGAGTGCCTATTTGTCAGGCTTTCAGCTGGATACAAGAATAAACATGATTAGGTTCCTGCTCTTGCAAGTACACAATCTTGTAGAGTAAAAGAATATGCAAATAATTACAGTGTGATGTCATCAAAGTTCAAACAGAACTCCCTACAACTTGGGACAGTCAGGAATGCCTTTCAGAGGAGCTAACATTGTACCTAGATCTTAAGGGATAAGTAGGAGTTTGTCAGGTAAAGAAATGGGAGAAATCGTTCCAGGCAGAGAGACTAGCATAAGAAAGTGTGATGTGTTGACGAAATAGTATCTCAGAATCAGAAACCACTCAAGCTTTACTACAGTCATCTTAGTGTCCATATTCCAGTAGTAAAGTTCAAAACTTTGGCAGAAAGGAGAGCAGTTGGCCAGCACATGGGAGGCCATGTGCCTTTACCTTGCCATCCAAGGTCTTTGTTGTGTCTTGTATTCACATTCTCTGTATGCATCAGCTGGCACCTCTGCAACCCTTACTGTCTGACTTCCTTCGGCCACTAAAGCCATCAATGCCCTTCATTTCCTGCTTCCAAAGGGATAAGGCAGGAATGAAAAATGACTTCTAATGATTTTTCTTTTATCATATTATTATCGTGTCATATTTTATACAATTTTGCATTATAGAGCTTAATAATAACTATTAAAGACAATGATCCTGAATAAATACAGAATCATTTCCTTTAATTTACTTGAGCAATTCCTTCGCTTAGGAAATGATGTGACTACTCACCGTTTTTGTTATTACCAGGCAAAGTTTGCCATAGTCACGACCTACTTCATTTCTGTTGGAAAGAAATAATATTACTCAAATTACAAAAGTATTATCTCTAATACTGCCTATCATTTTGGTGCAAGTACGTATTTTAAGAGAAGTCATTACTTCAACCTTCACAAGCTGTATTATTAGTGGTATTGGATATTGTCACAGGATTATGAATTTTTGCTGCTCATAACTATTTATTTATGAAAAATA